TTTTATTGTTTTTGACACAATGTTTCAGTTGATACTGCTTTTGGCAGTTTCTTTGTGTGTGTGTCATCACATCAACAAAAGAATGACAGTTTAAAAAGAGACTGACTTGAGCTGGTGGGGTATTGAGTGAGGCGGGGAATGGAAAAAATGTATACAAGGTGACCCCCTCCCCCTACTCTACTTGCAATTCAGTTATTTTATTTTAAGGTTAATTTTCTTGAGCACTGTATTCATCACATTTTGTTCCATCATCTTCTGCTATCTATTAGGCATTTTTATAATTTCATCTTTTGAGAACGTTTCATCATTTCCTGCCAAGAACTGTCCCAGAGTGCCTTTTGCAGCAATCCAGAAAATTGAAATGTTTTTTTTTTTTCATTAACAGAATTCTATGAAGACTGGAATAAATAGTAATTCAAAGATGCAATATCAAATGTCAACAGAGAATGAATAAAAACTTTTTCTCAAAGAAACGGACAGTCTAGTATTATCTTTTTAGAAAATGACTCCCTTTCTCTTGAGCCTTTGGTCAAATCATGTTGAAAACACCAGTTCTCATTTGATCATTCAAATGTTTTGGCTTTAAATATCTACAAAGGTTTGATAAACTATTGTGATACTATTTGTTGTTACTATGGTAAAATAAAACCTAACAAAGTTTTCTTATCAATAGAAAGTGTTATGTGCTGAGAGACATTGAAATTAATTAAGGATTAATAACACAACCCATGGGAAGAATTAAGGATTTAATTCCCACATAAATGACTTGAAATCTATGTTGAGCAGTTTGAACAATGGAAAAGTGACCCAGACTTAAAGGGCAGTCTTGATTGGTACACAGCTGCAAATGCAAGCTGTAAAGCGAAAATTTCATTTTTTGTAAACAACGAATTTGGAGTTGGTTCCCCTGGTAGAAAGTTGAGATGAAATACCAGGAGGGGGTGGATAAACCACCCACGCTCACCGAGGAGATTTAGTGAGAGGTAATAATATGGGAGAGAAGGGAATTCACCAGAATTATCGAATTCTCTTATTTTGCCAATTTCGGCAAATGTCACTAAATACGAATGTGCGAAGTGAATTCAGCAGATGAGTCACAGAAGAGAAAAGAGACGAAGATGAGACCAGAGAGAAGGTAGAGGCCCACATGATTATCTCTTGATGAAAGCCTTCGACTTCAGCCTTGTGCCAAACATTACCAACAGCAAGAAAAACGGATTTTACCAGGTCAACAATAATATCACTTCTGTTTTAGATGCGGGTTGGGCTGGTAATTACATGCAAACTCTGATATAGACCAATTATTGTATGGAGGACTGATATAAAAACAGTATTTACTTTTGTTCAATTTGAGTTATATTTTTTTTCTGTATGTTATCGCCCTGCTTGGATCAGCCAAAAACAAAGATACCTGTGATGATTCGATCTTGGCTGCCTTATGATCAACCTTAAATCACAATGTGGGATAAATAAAGTTAGCTCTGGATTGAAGTGGTCACTTCAGCGACCAGCCGCGATGTTGGAAGTCTTGGATGACCGGAGAGGGTGTTGCATGATTACACTATAAAAAATCCAATAGAATCAGTCAGAATTCTTAACTAATTCTGAAGGACAGTTTTTATTGTTTGTTGTGTTCATTTTGATCTGATTGGGGGAAAATCAAATGTTTACTTCTCCTGATAGAGTATAGTAGAAAATTCCCTTCCTATCCTATGATGTATACAACAACACTTTCTTTATATTTATATGGGGGTGGCATAAATATTTTCAAAATGTTTGTCAGGGTTGTTTGATTTAAATCAAATGGTTTAAAAAAAAAAAAAAAATATCACTAATTTAAATCAATTTTACAATTTTATTTAAAGCAAAAGATTTAGAAATAAAACAACCTTTTGGTTTTCATGAAGGAAGAAAAATGTTAAACATATTGAATCAAATATTTATTAATCAGTAGAATAATTTTGTTTTTTACAATAAAATAAAATTTTAATCATTAGCAAATTTTAAAATTCAACATGTGTTTACATTTATGTCTTTAAAAAGAAAGACCAATTTTGCTGCTTTATCTGTACCAAGATGGTTTCTCAGTTTGGAATGTACCATAGGACAAGAAAATTCCTTCAATGCCAGAAGATGAAGCCACTAGTGACAGGACAGGAGTTGCTTAACTGCAGAAAGTATATCACTGCTCAGCACACTTTCAAAGTTAAAAAATAACACGGATAGTAATTAAAAACCTAGATCTAAGTTTATCAAAAGTAAACTACTCCTAAAAAAAATTACAAGATTATTTATGTACAAATCAATCATGCATAGCTAATGATCACCATATCAATCTGTTATTTTAAAATGCTGTATGACCATATCTGGAAAAAAACAAGATTGTAAATTGAATGTAGATGCACTCAAAACCTTAAAAAATGGTAAAAATTAAATGCAGATTTTATCGATTAAATTGGGAAAAAGTCAGATATAATCAAAAAATTTTTTATTTGACAATAAGTTTTACTACTTAATTTTTCAATTTGTATCAGTTTTGCTATATCTTTTGCTTCCTTTATTTGTAAAAAAATAAATTTTAAATTCAATTTAAATAAAAAAAGAAAGAATCAACAACCCTGATTTAAGTAGAGAATTGCACATAGAAATCTAATCCAGTAGGTTAATTTTTTTTTTTTTTCAAATGAACTTATGTTGAAGCAACACATTAAAGTGGCTAACAACCAAATTAGTGTAAAATTTTTTTTTTTTTTTTACTTGTGCTTAATTTAGATATATTGAATATTTTAGCAATCTTACACATTGTACATATAATTCTTAAATAATGATAGTTGACTTAACGATGGACATTGTTCAGTAAGAAAGTTCACAAACCACTTCTTTAACAGGTTCTATCACTGGCAGTAATCAATGTTTTTTTTTGTGTTTGAGTTGCATATGTTTGTAATTGTTTCAAAGGTTGAGAATATAGTTGTAATCAGTGGAAAAAAGGAGGCTCATGTTTACCTGACATGACTGGCATAAATATATTTTCAATGATAAATCACCAGGTGAAGAATGTGTGCAGTATTGAAAAGAAGTCAGTGTTATTGGATAGAATGGGCAAAATATATATATATATATATATATATATATATATATATATATAATGCTTACATAATAAAATTAATTAAACTTGTGATGACACAAAAAACAAGTGTAACATACTACACTGTCTGGTGCAGACACCAAAATTGTGTCACTATGAGAGTGCATCTTTTGATATATAATCAATGACTGGCAGAGGTTAACCCAGAGAAAACTTACAGGTTTACCATTAATCTTCTCATCTCTGCAATCATAGAGAATATGCTGGATGAAAACGATTTCTTTCTTAAAAGAGCTGTTTGTTTGACCCCCTGTTTCTTTATTTATTATTCCAGTATGTATTGTCCACTGTACTTGCTTTACAGTCCAGATATTTCAGACTAAATTGCTTGACTACTGATCCATATGATTTGGTTATAGTGATAAATGTTTTTACAGAATCAGACACTTTTCAGGAGAACTGATAACAGAACAGAAATGGTGCACATCATGCCATAAAATCTCCAAACAACCTTCATCCTATTGTTTTATTATCATAGTTTAACTTCTCCTTAGGACAGTATAATGTCTGTACTAAAACATGACCCTCCCCATAAGACACCTGATTTGAATTCAAGGTTTTCTTTCTTTGTGACTGGTTACCACTAAAAGCAAGAGATCCCAGTCTACCTTGTTGTTCAACCCATCACCCTCCCCACCTCTCTTTCACAGGTGGGATGTGCCAAGCCTCTTGCTGCTCTATTGTTACTTCAATGGAAAATACTTGGATGAACTACATTCCTTGGTTCAGCCAGGGGTATGACGTTCATGGCTATGACCCACAATACCATTGGTGAGAAGTAAGTTCAAACAGCTTCTTCCCATGAATCACTGCTCTGTGGAACTGAATCCCAAGATGATACCCCCCCCCCCGATCACTTCAATCTTAACCCGATCAAGTCTAGGGTTAACCGTTATCTTCCCCTCCTCTCTACATAAACTGCCTTTTAATGTAATCCTCTACCTTGAGTGGCCTCTGGTCCATGTACAGGGTAAACCTTATTGTAAAAAAAATAAAAAATAGAATAAAAAAAAAATGAGTGGGAGATGGATTTATACTTTTCCCAAGTGTATTCGTGCAAAGTGAACTTAAACGGCCTTGAATGAAATTTAAACTTGGCTCCCTGATTCAATTTTTGATAGTGTTAACTGCTTGCACCTTGTCCTTTTGATCATATCATCTGTAAATTGTTTGTACTTGTCTAACACCAAATTTGAACTCCTAATCTTCTGAGGAAAATGCTTCTTTGAAACTAGGCTTGTAAAACTGACAGAAAGTATTTAGGTATAAATCAGTGTCTGGTAAATATCTAAGTTTATGTTGAACAGAAACTGACTTTGAGAAAAAGAAGAGTTGAGAGAAAAAGGATTCATGAAAACAAAAATGTCCTTGTTGTCTGTTTATATCCAAGATTGTCCGTCCTGGATATGACAATAAGCTACATGCCATAAACCAAACAAAACCGTGATTGTTTGGCTGAACGAGAATAAAAGACCAGTGTATTTTAACACTCAATAAAATAACTTTTATTCATTTACTGCCTGAGAACAGCAAAGATTGGTTTGGATTTAAACCATAAGTTCCACATGCGTGTCAGCTTGTTACCATGTTGAATTTAGAAGTGCTGCGGTCCAACTGGCAGACAAAGGATATAGCTCTATTGTATTTTGAGGTTATTGTCTTTTATAGGGGGAAGTAAGTAAGCACCCCACTAACACTGACCCTGACTTATTAGAGGTTGATAATGATTATTATTCTCTTGTATAAAATAAAGTCTTAAAGATTAATTCCAAGAAACAAATGGTTTTGATGGCAATTGTCATCAAAATTGACAAATTGTAACCATTTTATTAATGTCTCTCTCTTGATACAGGCTCATCAAACAGAGGCCCTGCACCTAACAAGTACGTGGATTGTAATGTGGCTATGGAGAATTGTGGATGGCCAGGCAATCTTACAAATGGTGCTCATAGCCATCTTCATAGATAGAATCTGGGTAAGTTACCATTACATTGTTATGATCCACTTTTTTTTTTCAATAAGGTGTATAAATATTACAGAAATCAAATTATTCTTGTTAAAATTGTCTCAAATTCTTTGTTCTTTTTTTTTTTTTTATTTGCTGGCAAAATATTTCTTGCTATAATTTGTGCTTATTTTTGGAAACTGGGGGTTTTCTTTACCTGTCAATGCTGATGGTCTCCATGACAATCTGTTATTTTAAAATAGAGAAAAAATTACAAAATAGTAATACGACCACATCTTGGAAAAAAAAAAAAAAAAAAAAAAACAAAGATTGTAGTTTGACTAAAGATGCACCCAAAACCTTAAAAAGCTGATAAAAATTGAATGTAGATTTTTTATTGATTAAATTGGGAAATAAGAGGCTAGAAAAGAATTTGACATAAATCAAGAAAACAACTTCATTCAAATTATCATTTACTAGTTTTATTTCGCTTGGTGTTCACACCACTCTTAACTGATGATTTATGCTTGAGATAAATGATGGCAAGTCTCCAGCACCCTCCTTAGTATTCTTTCTTTATTATTTGTAATCATTGCATTTTTATTCTAGAAGTGACTGGTGGCTTAGATTTGAGATCAAGTGACAGCAGTTATTGATTTTGTTTAGCGGCATATCAAACCCTATGGATCATTTAATGCCATAATCTGAATAATTTCATTCCTTCATCTACAGAAAATGTATTGTTGATCTATTTTTATATAAAAATGTATTGCTGGTATTTGTACTACTAAAATGTATTGCTGGTATTTGTACTACTAAAATGTATTTGTATACTTTCATACTGTTTTCGTCTTGGGGGTGGGGGGTTACAATTTGCCTATAGCTGGGTCCCTAACAGGTGGTACAACTCCAGGTCTGGGTGAACCTGGGAACAACAGCAATTAACAGGTGGTTCCAGCCTCTTCAAAACTTCCAATCTCCCAATCAGAAGCCTTGCTACCAGATGTAATTTATCATCATTCTAGTGACAGCAAGTCTCTTGAATATTCCAGCACTCTCCTCAGTATTTTAGCTGTTTTCCACAATGCTGTAATTTGGATTCTTCCAATTTTTATACTCGTCTTGTATTTCTGTATCTTTTTTTTTTCTTTTTAGCTCTTGATTTACTTTTCAAGCAGTTCTTAATTGATAAGTTGATAATTTAAAATCATTTTTTAATTTTGTCATTTCTCTATGAGTGTCTGGAAAATGAAATGCTGCTACTACTAATAATGATAATCATCATCCTCATCCCCCTTGTACATCTAAAAATGGATTTTCACTTAAAGAGAAACAAATTGAATTTTATGTAATGCTAGTTGTTAATATTCTGCAAGACCTTTTGACCTTATAATTGCTCTTCAATTGTTCAAACTATATTGATCTCAACTTTTCTTGTAAGGTCAAAGACCATGCTTTATAGGACAATAGAGAGTAGCAATTTTTTTTCTTATATATATATATATATATATATATATATATATATATATATATATATATATATATATATATATATATATATATACGCCAAAAAACAACTCTTCCGTTGTTTTTGACGTATGAGGACATGCTGAAGGTTTGGCCATCATATGAGCTGATATATTGACCCTAGATTTAGTGTTGGTTCTTTTTTTATATATAAGTGAACATTGAAGTCAACACTTATAAGTGACGGTCTGTTTCATGCTAGATGCAATTGTCAGGCCACTGTCTATGCGTCTAGCATGAAAACTGCCTGTCGCGCCTAAGTTTTGACTTCAATGTTCGCTTTTTTATTACACACCTCTATCTCTGATATTGAGCACTTTATCCCATAAATATAGCACACTATATTTTCTATACACACACATATATATATATATATATATAAATATATATATATATATATATATATATATATATATATATATATAGATTTTATCTTGTAGGAATAGCCAAACATGACATGATTTAATATAGAGAGAACTTTTTTTTTTTTTTTTTTTTTTTTTGCAACTTGCAGCTAACTTGTTTCAATTTTGTGTTATAGCATGAGAGTCAGCTTCCTCTTGTTGACCCTCGCCTAAGAAGGCTTGAGATGGCCACTGAATTAAGTAATGATATGAAATCATATTTTGGCAAATGTGAGTCAGGAGAAAACTAAAGCAAATGTTTCAGTTAAATCTAAATGAATGAATGAATGATTGACTTTTTTTTTTATGGCTTATCAACCTATTGTAGGTTATTTAAAGCCAGCAATTATTGGAAGATTTCTTTTTTTTTTTCTTCTTTTTTCTTTTACATAATAATGGTTTTAGTGACACAAGTCTTACTAATTAATGCATAGCTGGGGAAGAAGAGGAGGATTCATACCTTTCCCAAGGGTATATATGTGTAAGTGAATATAACAAACCCATATCTAAGCTTATAGCACCTCATATTCCAAAGCAGTCACTAATCTAGATATTGGCAAGACTTGTCATTGCTTAACTTTGGTGATCATATGGGAATCAGTGTTTGAACATGTGTTGTAAGCCTTAAATCTAAATGAATAGTGGAATAAATAATCTAATGGAAAATGTTAGTTATAATAAATTAAATAGTCTGGGAATGAATGGAAGGCTACAGTAAGCTGTGGCTAACTTGATAAGATGTAAAGTTAATTTTGAGCTTAGTGCTATGAATGGTAGATAGTAGCTGTATTGAATTGTAACCACCATCTGTAGTCGCATGACCAGTTACTGAATGAACACACGCACAATAAACATGAATGTATATGAAGCAGACAATTTCCGAGGACTGCTAGAATCTGGCTGCCTCAAAACTCTGTACTTTTTATATAATAAATGCTAATATCACACTTTTCCCACTTTACTCCTAGAGGTTGCAGTCCAACATATCATACCATTTTGGAATCAGGCCAACTCCATGAGCAAATTAAAAATGTTCTTGGCCGGATCTGCTCAAGTTTTCATTACTGCATTTTTTTTTTTCATTTTTTTTGCATGATATTTTGCGACAAATTTTTTGTATGATAACAATTTTTATAACTTTGAAATAAATTTGGGAATAATTGAAATTAATTGGAAAATCCAGCAAAAGTCACCCATAAAATAAAAATAATTTGTATGGAAAGTAAGGACCTACATATATGAAATTGTCTTTAAATTAAGTGGCAGCTAAAGAATTATCATTGAACTTTTAAAAGGTAAGCTTAAATAATAATACAATACTTAAAATGCAGTGATGAATTTTGAATTGTTCTGTAGTTTATTGTTGTCTACTGCATCTACTCCTCCCAATTGTGATAAAGGCCCAATCAAGAGCTCCTCCACAGGAGCTGGCTTAAATGCTGCCCAATAGGATGATGTTTAAGCTATTTACTAATATTTTCAGAGCATTTGCAACTCCCAAATAGACATAGCAGTGAGTAAAATGGTTGTTGGACATAAAAAATACAAGAGTTGAGCTTTGAAGGAAACCTTTTTTTTTCTTTCTTCATTTTTTGAGTGTTTTTGGCAGGGATTCTCATTTGACTTAAATCCTACTGGGGGATGAAAGACTTCATCATTTGTTAATTAAAGACACAATGTGGAGGAATCCACTAGTATTAATTTAGACAAGGATCAGGGACCAAGATTTTGGCTGGGTGAAAGTTCATGACTGCCACTTCTGGAAGATAATCTTCAGCTAAAAGCAATCAGTGGCAGAGGTGAAAGGTTTACAATGTAGAAACCACTGGGAAGTGCTTCTCTCTTCTGTATTTGGACAATTATATAGGGATGGTATGATCACACCATTAATTTCTTTTTATGACCTCCTTGTCAGCAGCAGCCCCTCCGCTCCATATTTGGCTGGTGTTGTCACATCGTTTTGTATTTGAAACTCTTGCTCTATTTTGTTAATAAAGTCATTTCACTACACCCCCCCCTGCACGCTTGTAAATGGTGGAGTGGAACTTTCATGCTAATTTTGAAACTGCAGATGAAGAAATAGCTTATTCTCTTTGAATTTACAAATTGCCTCTTTTTTTTTTTTTTTTTTTTTTTCCATCTTTTTCTTTTTTTAATTGTCAAATATTAATTGAAACATTTTTGCTTTCTTTAACCCTTGCAGGAATTTCTTACTTTCATGTTGTATGTTGGCTGGGCTGTCATCATTGGAATTATCATTATTAGTGAAATTCACATCAGATATGTGAGTAAAGAAACAATTCCTCTTTCTCATCTCTTTTTATCTTACTCGATTTTTATGTGTCTAACTTTGTCTCAACCACACTTTCCTTCATGAAAATCTGATGATCAAAAATAAGCAAGGAGGAGTGATTAGTCTTTTAGTACCTACTAATCAATTATTTCTTTTCAAAGGAACTTTAAAAGTGAGACAAATTCATCATTACTTTCTCTGATTTTTTGTTTGTTTCCTTTTCATTTGTTTCTTTTTTTTTTTTGTTCTGTTTTTTGTTTTTTTTTTTGTTTTGTTTTTTTTTTGTCTGTTTTTTTTGTTTTTGTTTTTTGTCTGTTCTGTTTTTTTGTTTTTGTTTTTTGTCTGTTCTGTTTTTTTGTTTTTGTTTTTTGTCTGTTCTGTTTTTTTGTTTTTGTTTTTTGTCTTCTGTTTTTTTGTTTTTGTTTTTTGTCTTCTGTTTTTTTGTTTTTGTTTTTGTCTGTTCTGTTTTTTGTTTTTGTTTTTGTCTGTTTGTTTTTTGTTTTTTGTTTTTTTGTCTGTTCTTTTTTGTTTTTTGTTTTTTGTCTGTTCTGTTTTTTTTTTGTTTTTTGTCTGTTCTGTTTTTTTGTTTTTGTTTTTTGTCTGTTCTGTTTTTTTGTTTTTGTTTTTTGTCTGTTCTGTTTTTTTGTTTTTGTTTTTTGTCTGTTCTGTTTTTTTGTTTTTGTTTTTTGTCTGTTCTGGTTTTTTTTGTTGTCTGTTCTGTTTTTTTTTTTTTTTTTTTTTTTGTTCTTTTTTTGTTTTGTTTTTTTTTTTGTCTGTTCTGTTTTTTTGTATATTTACGTTGGTGACAATAGTTTTGTGGTTCAAATATTCTATGTGATTTAGTATAAAATAAGGCAAGAAGTGGTCCCTTTGGATTTGCACTGAAATTGATTCATTATCTTTTCACCCAGAAAATCCCAAAAGATGAGCAAGATGAATGTGAAACAAACCTAAGATTATTTTTAGCCTTAACTCTTGGGCATTGACAATCATAGGCTAAAAGTTTCTGTATTTACAACTTAATTTTATTGTTTTCCTTTATTTAACAGATGAAACAAATCTCACTTTAACATCTCAATAGTGACAAAAAATTCCAATAACTGAATGTGAATTAGGAAAAACCTAGTTGCCATTTTTTATCACAGAAAATGAATATTGTGTGCATGGCCAACGTTAGCATTCTGGACAGGAGACCCAGATTTGAATGTTACCAGGGGTCAATTTGTCAAGGAAGTGTTTTCTTCATAATATCAACTTAGTGCTGCACACTGGTGTTGTTATCCTATTTGAAGTGTCTGGAAAACATACCATGCCTTGTGACTAAAATTAGATGGAACTGTTTGGAAGTTTTTGATGATTGAGCTGGCATAAAATCATAAGTCATCATGACTGAGGATGTTTCCCAAATCTTGTGATTGAAGTTGAGTTGATGAAATTGTTCAGAAACAGTCTGAGGTTTTGTGGCCTTGTTCAACCACAGATCAGACAAGATGGTGACCTCTCTCTCTCCCAGAAACTGTAACTAAGGTGAAATCAGCTTACAATATAAGCCACTGATTGGCTCTGTGGGTATTCAAGAAACACAAATGGGCCTGTGCGGGTATTTGCTATCCACCCTAGCAGACTGGTTTGCTCAGAAAAAAGCAGCTAGCCATTGGGTTAAGCAATTATAACCTTGGCTATTTAATTCCAAGTTTAGGTACCACTGATATGTTTGTTTTATTTCTTCTACCACCGGATATTACCATATGTGTAACCATTAAAGGGAATTAATATTTTGATGTTTTATTTAATAAATTGTGATATCAAAAATTATGTAATCATTGAATTGAGTTACTTGCAAATATAGTGATCTTAACTCTGTTCACACTCAATTCCTGGTCTTTTGAACAGGAGTAGAGGTTTATCCTTTATTTCCTGTATAGGACTGTGTTTCTGTTTCCTTCTAAAGTTTTTTTTTTTTTTCATTCTCTTTTACTCCCAGTAGCCCTTTGCATCTTAGTGGCATTATTGCCTTGCTTAGGGTAAAGAAGAAGAAAAAAAAAAAACACATACATTAATTTTAGACCATAGATAATCCCTTTTATTTTGGTTTTTCAATCAACAATATTCAGATTGAGTGTAGTAATTTATAATCCTCAAATTCAATTTGTAAGCATTCAGCTTAATAAAAAAAAATATTTGCTCAATCTGTTCACATAAAATAAGAGACAATGTCATCTGCTTTTAATATTGGCTGTGACATTTGACAATGTGCTAACATGGGTAGGATTAAATTGTATAAAACTTTAGTTGATAATTACATTTCAGACAATTTATTACTATAAACATTACATTTAATGTGTAGACAGGTTTGAAGAAAGTTTTGTTTTAAGTGTCAACTGCCCTTTGACATAATAGTTTCTAATAACCTAATTTATAAAAGGCACACTTGGCTTTAAAATGGCTTCCCTGTTAGAAAAAAAAGGAAGAAATATGGGTTCATTTTTTTGTTGGGAGGCCCGTTTTTTTTTAATAGGACATTTTGATCTCTACGCTGGTGGGCAGTAATCCCACTGTTTAAAGAATAATTGGATGGCTACACAATCTGTATTTAAGAAATAATGAAGGATTCAAAATATCTGTTATTTAAAAAAAAAAAAGAAATTCCTTTGAAACAATGCAGTAGAATCAAATTGAATTTATTTTTTCTTACAGCTTCGAGAAAAGGTGAAAATCTAAAAGTGAGGTTCATGGCACCTCCTCCCCCACAAAAGAGCTGGTTTACCTCTTCTGGAAGAATTGGAGTGATAGAAGTCACAATTGAAACTTTGCCTCTGTGCACCCTGAATAATGCACCGCATTTGTTGAGAGGATAATATTGGTTGTCAAAAAAAAATAAATAAATAAATAAAAATGTCTGTAGGGGAGGGGGAGATCAATCAAATTTTGGAAATCTGGAAACTTTTTCTTTTCTTTTCTTGATATCTGTCTGGGAAATTTTTCTGATTCAAAAGAAAAGCAAAATGTAAGCATTTTTTTTTTTAATTTTTTTTGAATGTTTTTGTCGGCAGAAATTTTAGCAAATAAGAATGGTGGTTCCTCCTCAACTGCCCGCTTTTTTTTTTTTTTTTTTTTTTTTTTTTTTTTATTTTTGCTTCCTTCACTCAATTCTTGCTTTATTCTGCTTCCTCCTAAAATGTTATTCTTCTCCTCCTCCTCCTCCAAAACACAAAAAAAAACCGTTGCTCATTCAATAGTTTTGGCTCTGGCCAAGGCAATTGCAGTAATCTGGGTGACCCAAACCTCCATATGTGCAGCACAACATGTGAGGGACCCTTAAAGGGCAGGGAGATAAAGTGCCTGCAGTCAGTTATGATTGTGTGGTGAGAAAGGACAGTGCCACCTAACTAAGAAATTGAGGCCAGTTTGTTAAAAACGGATTTTTATTGGTTCTTTAGCTGACAAATATTTTGTATGGCAGCATTTTATTTTATTAAGACTGTATGAGCATGTTTGATTGGGGTTTTTTTTTTTTTTTTTTTTTCCTCTTTGTATTTCATTTTATGATGTGTTAAGAGTTGGTGTTTGAATTTTTTCACATTGTGGTGGTAAAAAGGTCTTTTTTGTCTTTAAACAATATTTGATACCATCCCCAGGCTGTTTATTTTATAAAACACAGACAAAATGTATCAAAGGCTTTACACAGTCCATAAAGTGTTACGAGTTATTATATTGCAAGGAGGGGGGGAATTTTTCTTATTTTTTTTATTAAGCTGTTTGACTCTGTAAAGTTGTCATTATATCAATTGTTAAATGTCGATGCTTTCATGAATGATTTTTCAAATATCAGTTTTGCATCCAACATTGGATGCTCAAATCTCTTTGAATCAGGCAAAAAGTTGCAACCACAACTTTACAATCTTCAGTGCTCATCAGGTATAATTCTTGAGAACAAAGAATCATAGATTTTAGGTATTGATGATACCAAAGTGGATCAAAAGCTGAAATATACAAATAGGAGATTCCAGTGTTCAAATCATGTTTCTCTTTTCTATTATAGGAAAACACATTTTCAGTTTTTATGATTTCAAATTTTTATTTCATTTATTGTTTTCATTTAGAATCTGACCAATTTTACAAACAAAAATTGAATTTATTTCAAATGCTTTTTTTTTTTTTTTTTTTATTATAAATTAGTTTTTAAGAGAAAAGTTTCTTGTAACATAAAAGTTTTGTATTTTTTTTTTAATCTACCTCCATAGGCAGTCTCTTCTGCTTTTCATCTACAAGAAATCTTTTTTTTTTTTTTTTGTTAACATTTATTATTTGAACTATTTAACGATAAGCATTAAAGGGTTGAGATGGGCTTTTTTCTTTAATGTTTGATTATTTAATATTATATTAATATATTGTAAAGAAAATCAAGAAATCAATTATTTCAATGCATACACATGTCATGAACAAATCAAGTGAACAGTTCTAAATATTTTCTGACATTAATTTCAGTTGCTTTTTATCACCACTCAGACCTTCATTCCATAAACCTGAAATAAAGAATTAGGTTGCAGTAAGACTCAACCTTACATTTTCTCTAGGCAGCTGTCTTTCTCATTAGGCTACAGAGACCACTAGCTGCTGCTATTTAACACTAACCATGCAATCACTTATCTTACCTGACTACTGGGGTTTAAAAACAAAAGGATACCAGTTTCAATCCCAACTGATTAGGGCTTGATACAAACAATTAGTGATGTTATGCTCAAAGCAGGTAATGTAAACACAAGGCAAGAAATGGACAGAATTGGTATTCAACTCTAGCAAGAAATTTATATATGGAATCCATTTTATTCCTTCCATATTTTTCTAATTGATTCTAAATAGTCAACTAGGTATATGGTTCCTGTATGATCAAAGTTAAGCAATGTTGAACCTGGTCAATACCTATGTGGATGACTGTTTGAGAATACCAGCTTGTAAGCTTGGCTGTGCAAGTGATTTAATGGATTGTTAATCAGAGAGAACCATGTTCCAATTCCCATTGGGTTTGTTATATTCAATTACACACAAATATACTTGGCAGAGGTATGAATCTACTTCTCCCCTCAACTATGGGTTAATTAGTGAGACTTGTATCACTAAACCGTTATTATCTCAAAAACAAAACAAATTCTTACAATCAAATAATTTTTTCTGGCTTTAAATAACCTCTAAGGGCTTGATAAGCCATAGAGAATGAATCAACTTGTTCAGAAAAAAGTGATAATGGTAGTTGTTAGTTATATGAAGAAATGACTTTCACTGTGTGATACATTCTGTGGCGTTTTGCTATTCAAAATGGCTCCTATTTTCACCTTGGCTACATGTTACATAACATCTCTCAGAAAAAAAAAAAAAACCCCCCCCCCCCGTTCTTAAAAGCCATTCTGTAATTCTTATGCATTTATGATGCTTTAGGTGGAGAGAACTCACAGTCGGATGAAAATGTCTTAACCCTACTGCAAGTTTATCAATTACTAATTATTATCAGGACCAGATACCAAAACTTCATCTATTTGGAATCTGACTAAAGGTACCATTCTATTTCTATGGAAAATTCTACTCTAGTTGACTGAAGAATGCCTCTGTTGCTGTGGCTAGGGATTCATTTTTGAAATTCATTATTTACAAATAGATCGTTGGTTATCTGATTTGTTAAATTATTTGTTTTTTTTTGGTCAATAGTTATTGGGTAGTTGTCACATGACGTCCTTTTTGTCATTTGAAGCCACCACAGATTTGAACAGTCCCTTTATAACAGGTGCAAAGTCATTTATAAATTAGTGCCGGCTTATTCAGTGTTGTTGCATGAGCAGGTCACTTGCAAAAAGAGCAAGGAACCTGCTCATGCTTTACTACAGTGATGTTGACTTGGTTTTTTTCCTCTCTCTCTCTTCCTTTCTCTCTCTCTCTTTTTCTCTCTCTCTTCCTTTCTCTCTCTCTCTCTCTCTTCCTTTCTCTCTCTCTCTCTTCCTTTCTGCAAACTGTTTCAGTCCTGACTTATTGATTACTGACAATGTTGTTCTGGTGGCAAGTTCCATGCAAGTTTCCACTCTTTCTGATCACGGTGAAGAAAATGGGTCTTATTCGTCATTTGCAACTTGCATTTTTGTGGGACATACATATATTTGTTTACTACAATTCTTTCTGACACACTTTTGTCACATGATCATCATTTGTGATTGTTTTAACATCAATAACAATTCTATTGATTGGTTTGGAATGCGTTACTAATTTATTAATTTACATGATAACTTTTCTCTTGTGGCAGGTGTTGGAAATGTTCTTGGAACTTTGGGTAAACAATTGTAATCTCTAAAAGGGGTAGATAACTCTTTTAGCACAATACCACTCTGGTTTATCCAGTGTTTCTTATACACAATACTAAGGGACATAGAATCATGGTTACTTAATCAAAGCTTGAATAATTATATAAAAATATCAATGGCTGAGATCATGTGAAACTTTTTATATTTGTATAGCTTTATTGATTAAATTGTATTTTTAGAAAGTCTTTATATTTCATTTTTGATTGAGGTGGGGAGGTGTTGAAAAAAAAAAGCATTTGGAATTTATCAGAAGTATTCCTACATTTTTTTTTTTTTCTATTGCAAAAAGATTATTATTGCTAAAATTATAAATAAGCAATAGTTGCAATATAGTAACATTTGAGTGTGTGTAATGTTTTTTTTTCTCTTTCAATCTGGCTGTGTTGTCAAAAGATTCAGAAATTTTTGTTTTTAAAATTACTTTTTATTACCTGTTATCACTGTGTGGACTTTGTTTGTTAACTCCATTTTCTAAAAGATAATAGGAGGCATATACCCCCCCGCCACACCTTTAATAACCTTCAATCGGTGTTTCTTAACCGTATTTGCTTCAGGGTGCACTTGTAGAATAACTAAAAAGGGTGTATAGTTTCAAATTTAATAAAAAAAAAAAAATTAGTCATGAAATTTGAAAATAGGAAATGAATAAAGAAGTCTCTTGAAACAAGCATTTATTTTGAATACATTAAATTGTACATTTAAGAATGCTTGTAGGAAAACTGTGCTTGAGGCATCTTGGTAACTTTTTGAATGATAGGTCTTATCTGTTATGGCTTGAAGAAAGCAAAGAGAAAAGGTTTATCCCTTTGTTATTAAAGATTATGGAATTTAACATCCAGTTTAAAATATCAAATGACAAAGACTTAAACATAGAAGACATGTGCCTGGTGTCTGTAGCTTTTTTATAGAAAAGATTTTTAAATATAAAAATAATTCATATATTGCACTTTTGTTAACTTGAGGCACACCTGCCTATCTTTCAGAGTGAATCAGTGCACCTGAGCACGCGTTTAGAAATGCTGCATTAAAGACACTAAACTTGAGCATACTGCTGAAAATAGTTTTGAATAATGATGTTAATTTGTAACTTTTTGTTTGGATGTAATTTTTACAAGTTTTTAGTTTGCCGTTTTATCAAACAGTCTTCAGTTTAGCCTCAACACAGCACCATTATTGAATTGTGCTGCTTTAGAGGCTTGAACCAGATCCTCCCTGTTGATCTCCTATTACTCACTTTAACTCAAGCTTCTCTTTGATTTGGGTTAAATTTGCAAAAATTATTTGGACTAATATCCTTGTCTTTGTTGTTTTTAGCTCTTTTTGTTGATGCTACAATTGGTATTTGAGGACTCTCTTTTCAATAAGAGAAGAATGAACTACATTGTTACAATTGAGGATAAATGCTGTATACTGAAAATCTAAGAAGATATCAGCCGAAATGTTGAGGAGGGAAAAAAATCACAACAAAAATATAAATACTATTCACAATAATTTATGCTGTTTTGCAAAAATTGAGAATCGTAACAGGATAAAAATTTAGAAAAATTCACTTCCCCCCCCTCTCCTTACTGCTGTTAAAATGTTTAAAAATACAATTTTATCCCCTTTTTGTATTGTTCTGTTTGCCTCACTTTTGGGGGTAAATATATACATGCAACAAGGCTTAAGGAATGAGATGTAAAAAAAGAAAAGACAGGCGAAATGGTAAGAGAACTATTCCCAGTGCCATTGTGTATTAATATGCTCTTCAAAATATTTGACCCTAGAGAATTTGAATAAAAGTGGTATTGCTTTTATTTTTAGTTGGAAAATACAGTGCAATGCCCTTGAAAAAGAAATCTTACAACCAGAGGCAGGAAAACCAAATTTATAGTACAATGGTATGGTGTCAGGATGTACAGTCTTGTTAGGAAGGGTGGAGAAGTTGGGGGAGGAAACACAAATAGATAGCAAAGCGAGCATGAAGATCTATACTGACTTGTTAAATATTTCCATTGAGGTTGCATTAAATTTGTGAATAATTCTTGACACTTGATTCAGTGTATCTTTATAGCAATGACATTGAGTTTTTGAGTGGAAAAAAAAAAAAAAAAGAGCTTATTTCCAGAAGGCTTATAGATTTTCTCATGTTGTTCAAATCTAAAACTAAGTGTTTCGTCAACATCTGAAATGCACATCAAATTGAAACTACCAATTCAAGCTTTTGGGTGAATGCTGTGTTTGAAAATACATGAAAAATTGTCCCATTAAAAAAAACCAAAAAAAAAAACCCCAAAAAACTTGGCAATTCTTGAGATTTAATTTGTTTTATGTTTTCAGGCTCAAACTGATGTTTTTGTTTTCTTTATTAAACAATTATTTAGAGGGATCATTATTTTATTTTATTTTTTTAAACAGAGGCATATTTTTTTATTTTATAGGTTTTTCTTGGGGGGGGGGCCTAAAAATAAAAACCCTTAACTTCAACTCAATTAAATAATCACAAAGTTGGTAAGGGTCATGTAAAAATAATCATCTTTGAGAATTATTGGCAGTTATAATGTTTCTGTTCAAAGAAATGCAAAATGTTAAATTTCACTGAACTTCAAGCTTCTTATATATCCTCCCCCCCGCACCCATAAAGCATGTAAATGTGCTGACATTTGCAACCCCCACAAGCCAGATTCTGTTTGAGATAGATAAAACAAGCGAGTTAAAATGTGATTTGACCAAAGGACAAGATTGCTTGGAATTTGAAGTCCATTTTGATTGATATTGCAAAATCATTTGCATGTTAAGAATCGGCTCACTTTTTGCAGGTTTTAATTTTCATTGTCATTGTGTTCAGATGTACATTTTTATTTTGAAAGTACATTTTATTATGCCAATGTCTGGCTTTATACATGCTGTTTTTTTTAACCTTGTCAAACACGCATTAATTGAGATCCTCAACCATATAAATTTTGGATCAGGTGAGTCACTATGCAAATTGCATATATATTTTTTTTTCTTAAATGACTAATGTAATATCTTTCTAAAATTGTATTAAAAAATTGCATGATTTTTTTTTTTAAATTTAACATGATGATGAAATTAGTATACAGATAACAAAGAAAAATTTCTTAAATATTGGAGGTTCTAGAATGTGTGAAAAACAATTGTTACTGCACATGGAATGACAGATATTTTTTATTTTTGTTGAAATATATGAAAAGGCTATGATGCAGTCTTTTTTTTTTTTTTTTTATTCTTTTTTAAAAGAAAAAAGTATACAAGTCTTTCAGTTTAGTTTTAGAAGCCAATGTGACTTTGAGTTGAAATATCCAAATTTGCTAAGCCTTTTTATTTGAAAATTCTTTTTCATTTATTTGTACATTCCCCAACTCTACTGGCACCTTTCTGTGATTTAGCAAGTTTGTCTTCAAGACCAATTCATTAAGATACTGAGTTTAATTCTCGGGGTGCACCACACACACACTTCGGTGAGGGGGGGAAAATCTTTAAAGAATTTTTTCTCTAAAAGCTTTGCAAATTTGTCTACATTTCAGAAATTGCCAGTATAGATCTTCTATATTGTTTTTTTTTTTTTTATTATTCAAAAACTTTACAGAAAATAGATAGTTTCTATTGATTTGTTACAAGAAAATACATTGTATTTAATAAGTTCTGAGTAGTTCCAAGCATTTAAGCCAATCTAAAACGCGTTACTGGAAAGATAATAATAATAGATGTAGGGCACCAATCAATTCTTGCCTTTTTCTTATTTTTGTAAATAAAATGAAGGAAAAAAAAAAGCCATTATTTCATGTGCAGTAACACAAATTGTAACTTTATTTCTCATCTAAGAAATGTGTTGCTTGGAGATTTATAATTCCTTCATAAAGTCGGTAGAAAGTAACAGAATAAATGTCTCAAATTTGGTACTGCCTAGTTTCATATGAAAACTATGGACAAGTATAAATGTGTGTGTATCTTTCATGGCTATTTTTGCTCAAATGTCTTTCTCTTGTTTGTAGTAATGTAAAAAAACTGTTGTTGATTACATTACTTACCACTGAAAGATAGTACACTTGAGGCTGTCCTTGCATGAAGTGGTTGAAAAAAAAACACACACACACAAAAAAAAAAAAAAGGTGAATTGATTTTTCATCAAATATATTTCTATATGAAAAAAAAAAAAAATTGCTGAACAGCTCAGGTAAAAAAAAAAGTTAAGAATATTCAGAAACATAGACAAATGTGCTCACAATTAGACATTCTTCAAAAGGATGTTCCCCCCCATGACACGTGTTTTTTTTTTGCTTTTTTTTTTTAACTGTCTTCGCTCTTCAGAAAAATTTATTATTTTAAAAAATATGATTAGAATTGGAATAAAACCTAAACACATGATGAAAATGAATTTATACATTTTTCATTCTTGAGAATTTATAACAAAAATATTAAACCCCTATTTATTAAATTGCTTATTTACGAGAATAATTTTATATTTACAAAATTCTAAAAACTAATACAATTTAGTACTAATGCATTGCAATATTTATCATTTACCAATTTATAAAGAAATAAATGTGAAAATAATTTTTTTATTCACAAACATTTAGTAAATTATGAAAATATGTGAACCAACTTTAAGAAAACCATTGTTATTTACTATTTCATAAAGTTTGGCTAATTGCCAATTGATTCAATGTTTTGCCAACCATTCCACCACAGTAAATAAAAAATCCTAATAAATAATAGGATGTCAATTCTCAAGAACAAAGAAAATGTATAAATTCATAGGTTTAGGTTTTATTACAATTCTAATCATCACTTTCTAAAACAATAAACATTGCTAGTGAAAAAAAAAAATTAGTGCCATGGGAAAAACTGTTCTTCTGACACTCCATTTTATTGTGGACATGTTTGCCATATTTTTTTTGTTAT